ACCATCTTGGTCTTCATATCTTTGATTAAATTGTTTAATGATTTTTTAAGTAATGGATATTTCTGGCCTTCAACTGCAGTCATCTATGCATTTCAATTCATCGGGAAAACCAATGGCGCCTGCCTTAATTTGGGCAATGATGCTTTATTCTTACCTACCATAAACGTAAATGAATATCACTGGCATTAATTGCCCAGAAGAGTTTGGAAAATAATTATACTTTATAAAAGTAAATGACTAGTATAATTATGATCTGGTAAATTCCTTTATCATTGCAACAGGTTTATATACAAGCCCTTCATCAAGAAAGCAGAGTTTAATTTGATATCGCATCACTACTATTCCCAGATTTCTTTCCGGTTTTTATCCAGTCAATAAACTTCCGGAAGTACATACAAGTAATCACACTTATTGTAGATACGAAGAGAAACTGGGCATCAATGAATCCCCTGAGCTAACATTGTTTCATTTCGTATGAAAGTGCATGAGTCTATCTAAGAAATAAAATAAATCCGAATAATGTTCTTGGCCTAGTGTTAACGTGAGACTCTTACAATAATGAAACTCACCTCTGATGATGTCCATCATATGATGGACGAAAGCTCAGTCGTTTTCACCCCAAACGAGGGAGGAAATCTTGTGGACCGCGTCAACATATACATCATATTAAAGTCAAACGGCTGCAGTACAACGAGATTCATCCGTCCTCATCTCGTGAGATCGACCAACGAATCTCTTCTTCATGCACTTTCATACGAAATTAACGTCACCCGCCCAATAATCACACTCATTACCGCATATAAGGAGAAACCCAATGTAAATACAATTTCTGTCCCCAATGAGCACGTGGATTTGGCCACCGTTCATGTCGAAATTTTCGCCACTTGACAAAATGAAATTTCACAATTAATCATCGAATCAGCTCCTATTTGTATATCGCTTATTCCTCTGATTTATCCCGGCACTGTTGAATTACTTATTTGATTGGTTTATATATGTTTATTGAATTTATTTCTTGGTTCAATACCAAATATATTTTTTATTGAATCTCATTTATTTATTTCTTGGATTGATTTTGACTTGATATATTCATTTACAACTATCCGCATTTAAAGCGAATGCATCCTTCAACCTATTTCTTGTTTCTTTTAAGTCTGTGACGTTGAGTCCGGACATACATTAAGAACTTCAAGAAATCAGCTAAATCTCCATAATGATGATCCTGGATCCATGTTCTCTTCTCTCCCAATCGACATTAACGATCATGAGGCATCCGCTGTCTATTGCCATCTCAACCATCATGCTACTTCAGACTGCGAGAATGGCTGGTCAAATTTAACTAAGGAGGGACAGACGCTACCTAGCAGCCGTTTCAAAAACAATGATAACGCTAGTGCAGAACAAAAGAGAACATGCACAAAACGGCACTCGGGCGCACTAACGCAAAAAGAGCGCCAACGACGATTGCAACAACGTTTAAGGCAACGCCTTTATGAAGCGAGGCGCAGTCTGAACCTAAGCGGTAAAATTTCTGCTCGTGAGTACTATTCACGTTATTTATGATAGTATTGTCTCATTTAATCTATCTAACCACTCATTTATTTATCTCTTTTTTCATTTTATCCCATACTATCATTACTTCTTATGTCTTGTCCTATTTTATTCTCTTTTTTATTATCACTAACACACATTGATTCCGAAAATACTAATAATAATGTGCCATGGTGACAATTTGACTTGCTTATATTCTCATTCCCAATACCACTTTTAAAGGAATCCTTTTCGTACCCTTTACTTACTGGCTTTGCAAACACTTTTCACCTAGTCGATATTTATTCATTCGGGTGTTACTTTTGCCTTCCGCAGCCTTAGCTTGACAAATTCGTACTTCTTTTTCTACCACGCTTTTTACTCATTTGTGAGGGCTAATTAGGATATTTATCATAAGTCTCTCAAGCAAATGAGGTTAATTTCAGTTACATTTCCTTTTTTTACTTTACTAACCACTCATCTACTCTAGATTTTTATTCAATTCTATGTTCTCTTTTTACATTTTCCAGGTTGCCCCTGTGTCTGTCTTTCTCAACCTTCTGGATCCCGCGAGTATATTGCCATGGTCGGTGACGGAATTAATGATAGCCCTGCGCTGGCACAAGCCGATGTCGGTATTGCAATCGGATGTGGCGCAGATGTCGCTGTCGAAGCAGCCGACGTAGTCCTAGTTCGCAATTCCCTTGTTGATCTTGTTGCGGCAATCGACTTGTCGCGAGCTACAGTCAAACGAATCCGGTGTAACTTTGTTGCCGCAACAATGTACAACATGCTAGGTATTCCAATTGCTGCAGGTGAGTGAATTATGGATGTAAACATAAAATGCAATACAGGTTCTTTCCAGCTGACCATCTGAATCAAATTTTTTTGAATTCCTTAGCTTGATATATTCTTTCATTCCCTATTTTCACTTTTTAATCATCAATTTTAGCCCTTGATTCTATTGTATCGTCCATTTTATGTTATCTGACTTTTCTTCATGACTTCATCCACTCATAACCTGTTAGCTCACCATTTATATTTGTTTTTATTTTTTTCCTTTATTATTTTTAGCTGGTTTCCTCGTCATATTTCTTCCTTTATTTCACCCTTAAGCTCTTATTAACCTTGGATCATCTTTGGTATACTCCCTTTTCATCACCCTGTTAATGATTATACTCTACTATTTCTTAACCCAGGTTGCTTTCTTCCGCTTGGTATTGACTTATCACCCTGGATGGCTTCGGCTGCGATGGCTGCCTCCTCAGTCTCAGTGCTTTGCCTTTCGCTGCTTCTGCGCCTCTGGAGGAAGCCAAAGTCTCATCAACTAGTCACACCCGAGTATCTTAGCTTGCTTGAATCCGAGGGTTTGGACCCTAATACGGTAAAGAGTCACCCTTAATAGATCACATGCTTATTATTTAAATACTTGAGTCACTAATTCATTACTCATTTATCTATAGTTTGCTATATTTATCTGGCCTTCTATTTAATCTTCTATACTCACATCTCCATTTTCATTAGTATATCGTACACTACTGTTGAGTATCACTACTTTCTCCTTATTTAAACTATGCTTCATCTCATGTTCTTTTCCTACTGTTATCTTTTTCTCCTTTTAATTGTTAAGCTGAGATCCCACCTATGAACTTCTACTTTTCCTCTTGCAATTGATTGGTCAAACGTACCCTTCTTTAATATTTCTTATAGCTATTTACCTGAATCTTTCGCTCGTATTTATCTGTCTATGTATTCAAATTATCAAAGTATTTTCTCATTTATCACCATATTAGTATTATCAAAAAGAATGCCTGTTGCAGTATTCTTTTCTTTGCTGAATGTATCTGTGCCACCTCTTAACCCAATCCTCAATTAACTTTTTGTGTCCTTTAACAGTTTGTTTCCTATCTTTAATTTTATTTTCCGTTTGTTATTTTCGTCATTTGATCGTTTGCTTAAGATCTCCCGGTGGTTCGGCATCATAGTGGCGTCGTCG